TGGATGGAGCTGGAAAAGATCATGCTTAGTGAGATAAGCCAGAAAGAGAAAGAAAAATACTGGATAGCTTCACTCATAGCAGGAGTATAATGGACCAGGTGAGAAAATAACAAGAATGAATATACCAGAGATATTTTGTGGGGGTGGAGTGGGGAATGGGATCAAAAACCGGGGGAGGGGGGGTGGTGGAGTGGGGAGGAAACTGCACGGGATTATGGTGATGGCACACGGGTGACTTGGTGATGGGAAACCCGTGGGGACTACAATTGAGATGGGAAAAAAAAATGTAAAAATGTAAAATAAACTGCTATAAAAAAATAAAGTAAAAGAAAGAAAGAAAGAAAACACAACCTTTAAAAAACCTAACTGGGTTTTAGGTGAGCAGAATACAGGGAAATATATCTTACTTCAAAACTAATTTGGGGAAAGAGGAAGGCAACAGAGGCATATGGCTGTGTGTGGAATAAGGAATGATTTTAGATAATACAAACATTGGAGAAAGCACAAAAATGTTTGATGGTTATGTATTTTATGATATTTGTTCTAGAAAAATGTACGCCACTATGAGTCTAATCCATACTTTTACATTATTTGGCAGATTAGGTGAAATTTAAAAGAAAATAAAGTACTATAAAGAAAAATGCTGTTAATAGTAGAACAGGTAGCCAGAAAAGACCAGAATTGTGAAGGTCACATTCAAATGATGCATTTAGGTTGCCTCTTACCCTGACACAGATATTGTCATTATAAGACATCAGTTCTATCTTTCTTCAGTTTTGTCCAGTTTATGAGCATTTGTATAGAACTTAATTTATTTTTATTTTTTGAAACTGCACATTTTTTTTTAAGATTATTGATGCATGCAGAACTGGGGTACAGGCCAGAGGTGCAGGGGCAGTGAGAGGATTCACCAGAGACAGAGTGGGGGAGCAGAACAGGCAGACTGATGAAGTTCACTGCTGAGGGGAGCAGCAGGCGGGTCAGGAGAGGTCTGCTACGCCATGTGGGTCACCTCCAGGGTGGGGATCCAATTCATGCTGAAGTGGCTTTAGCTTCTTGGTGCTGTACTTTAACCCGCTGCAGCACCAGGGAGGGCCAGAAACTTTACATTTTAAAAAAATTTAATATATTTTTTACATCACCCATCATTTTCATACAATGCATGCTTTATCCACTCATGCATGGTCCCCAAAGAGTCCCCACCATCAATTCACCTGTAGTGAATCACCATAGTCCCTTGTGCTCTTCCCATCCCTTTTGAATGAAACTTTACATTTTATATATGCTTTAACACAGATTCATTTCTACATAAGTCCTACAGGACAGACAGTGCTTTGCTCCTGAAGCTGTGGAAACTGAACTTCACAAAGTTTCCATAACTGGAATTCAGCTATGATGTCTTTCTATAAAATAAACTATACAGACAAATTAATAGTGAATATTTATGAGTGGTACTACGAGTCACACTGTTCTAGGAACAATAAAAGTTGCCTGCTCACATGGAACTGACATTTAGAAGATGTTCTTTTGGTTTCAAATGGAGGACTGACTCCAAGTCCAGTGTTTTTTCTAACCTCTATATTTAATGGAGGCTTCTGGAAAAGGCAAGAGCTACTACATAAACATTTTAAAATTCATAGAATTGCACACCCAAAAGAGTGGTGTTCACTCATTTGGTAAGTGTAAGTTATATGTCATTATATAAGTTGTAAGTAATTTATTATGCAAATATATGTAAAATATTTGTAAAGATTGGGTAGTTGCATTTTAAAGAGGGTGCAGAAAACAAAGCCAACTTCCATATCGAAGGAGTACTAAATTTCTCATCCCACCTTCCAGAGGAGGGAACAAGAATGGGAAAATTACAACTTAAAATAAGAGTTGGGTACAGCAGAATCTTAATTATCAGAACCTGACTGTGATCTTGACTACACTCCAAGTTTGGGAGCAAAGTGAACTACTGTTAGAGGATAGAGTGAGAAATCAAAGATGCCACCTGGGAACAGGTAGAAGCAATCATTGCTCCAGAATATGCCAGTTGTAGTGGTGGAATCTACAGGCTCTGGAGGGCAGTCTGCTCTTTAAGTGTGAAAATTCATATACAGAATCCTTATTTAAAGACATCAGGATGCTAGAAGAATTCCACACATACACAGTGAGTAAACAACAGTACCCAACATGCCTTGCATCTCTGACAAGATGTAATGCTTTTCTATCCCAGTACCGGGAAGAAAGAGGCTCTGTTTTGCATAGCAATAGACCCCACTAAAAGTCATGTAAGGGGATGCTGGCTTTTATCCTGGGAAAGTATATGTGTCTTGCCAGGAGACTGCACTTTCCAAGTTCACTATTTTATTAGTAAAATAACTTGCTTTTTGTTTGCAACTTCTACATTTGCATGCTTTCCCGAGGTTGTCCTGGACAAAGCTGAGTTCCCGGAGCCCTGATGAGATAATAGGAGGTTTGGGTGGGAGCGCACAATTTAGGGTGAGGAAGACATGACCTTGAGTCTCAGCCCTGTCACACTGGTGTGCACGTAACTTCTAATTTACAGTTAGTGTGAGGACTCCATGTGCTAATGGATGGCAAGGGTGCACCACAGTGCCTGGCTTTCTGAGAGTAAGAAATAGCCGTAATTGAAAGAAAAGAAGCATCATACCTCATACCTCAGTCTCCCCTGGCCCGTGCAGATCCAGGTGGCTTCCAAACCTTCACTAATATTAGGATTTCTTGGCACCACTTCAAGCAGGACTCTAAGTGTCTGCAGTAGTGAGGCACTTTAATTGGCTGTTTGCCAATATTTTTTAAACCGACAAAATTGTGTATCTATGTGACTATAGAGGATATTGTATTCTGGGACTTAGAGTATAGATAAATAGATGCCCCAAGTAGATTTTTAATTATTTAATCTTCTCTTATTTAATTAACTTATTGATTCAGCATCTTGTTCCTCTGAGTGGGAGCAGTGTCTCTTTTAGCTGGCAATTCTGTATCTTAGAAACCTATGACCTCCACAGACACAGCCAGCATTTCTGTAGAGCTCTCAGGAACCCATCTTGCTCATGTGGGGATTTGGGGGCCCTATGTTGTGTGGTTGCAACTGTGCGTTTGCTCTGCGGGAATATGGACATGGAAAACCTAATTGGTAGGACAACATAGCATGGGGGTAAGAGGCTACAGACATGCATGTCCTTTGGATATCACAGAGCAGTTGTGCCTTGGCTGTGCTGTGCAGTCTGGGGGAAAGAGTGGCAGGAGATGAAGCCAGCAAGGTAGGCAGCAGTTTGGCTCAGATACGAGGTGAGGAGAGAAGAGTAACCTCAGGCTCATGGAGACTTGCTGAAAGATTTACTTTAAGGAGTGGTGTAATGTGGTCAGATTTGCATTTTGTAAGATTGCTCTGCTATTAGTACAGTTTTTTTAGAACTTTATTATGCAAGAGAATCACCTTGGAATCTTGATAAATGGCACCTCTGACTCAGTAAGTTTGGACAGAGACCTGAAATTCTGCACTTCTAATAAACTTCCAGGTCATGCATATGCCATTGGTCTGTGGACAACACTTTTTATTACCAAGGGGAGCATCAGAATCACCTGGACGAATTGTTAAACTCAGGCTGTAGGGCCCCACCTCCTGACTGGGACTCTAGTGCATCCCTAGGTGATGGTGGTGCTGATGGTCTGGAGGCTGAGAAAACTAAACAAAAGGTTGATGGGATGAGGGCCAGACTAAGGGAGGTGTGCATTCAGGAGGCTAGAACAATAGCCTTGGTGTGATATGACTGTCTAAAGATGGCACTGGGAATGGGAGAGAGAGGGGAAATGATAGCGCTAAATGACACGCTGAGGACGTTGTAATAACCAACTGCAAGGAGCAGAGGGGCTGGAATGGCCTGAGTGACACGGGCTGTAGGCTCACCCACTGAGCCAGTGGAGGCAGCAGGAGCAAGCGTGGGGGTGGGCAGTGATTCTGAGTTCAGCTTTGGAATTCTGGGTGTGCTGGAGAAGGCTGACCTGGTCCACATGTGGCACCAAACTGGCTCATACCAATTTGCTGTTCAATATGTCTGCATGTGCCTCATTCTCCTGAACCATGAGATGAGACTCTTGCCTTTTGTCTAACTAGGGATGAAGCAAGGATTGCAATAATGGATGTAGTAGGCCCCTACCAAGAAAGCATCATATCAGAATGCATAAGCTTTTGTCTTTTTCTCTTACCAATCCAAAATGATAATATGCTTTTTATATTCCAGCAGGTAAACTATCAGCAGGAGCCCAAAGTTATTTTCTGTTCTTCCTGAAGTTTATTTGATATTTTAAAAAGTACTCAAAATATTCATTCCGCTAAAAAATTAAATGACTCACCTGGACTTGTAATCAAGCTTTCATCAGGCAACAAGGTTATGTAATCACCGACATCATTTCTTTGAAAGGTTTTCTTGGCTTTATTTTCTCTTGATTTTTGTTTACTGGTCTTTGACTCCCTGTGAAGGCTTTTCTTCAACTCCACTTGGGCCTGAAAATGATCAGTAATAAATGGTTAATGTTCTCCCCTGAGTGACTTTCACCAGAACCAGTCACCTGGTCAGCCACTTTGCAACTCCTGTGCTTATCTGTAGACATCAGAAAATGGGTTTCATTTTCAAATTAGAAGGTATGCAAACTTTCCTTATGCATAGATTTGTCAAGAGAAAGGACAATTGACCACCTTCTCAGAAAGGTATGACTAGATTAACATGAGGAGTTTTGTAAAAACACTTCTTTGTAGTTCTCCCTAGGCTAGCTGACATTTGGAATTTCATAGGACAATGACATTGGGCTTATTTACTAGAGTGAAGAATTTGGGTTAGGTCAGTTACAGAAGACATTATTGTAAAGGGTTTGCACAAAGGATCTTTCTTGTGAGGTAATTCTATGATATTAATGGTAGAGAGATACATAGGTATAATAGTAAATATGAACTCATCTCTCACTCCCTAAACCAAAAAAATTATCTAATCCCACTTTTCTGCTGGAAGCAGAATGTCATAGGAGTAAGCTATTAAAAAACAAACAAGGTCCTCCCTGGTGGCGCAGCCAGCGGATTAAAGCACAGCACTAAGAAGCTTAAGCCACTTTCGCATGAGTTCGATCTCCGCCTGCCCCGGAGGTGACCACATGGCGTGGCAGACCTCTCCTGACCCATCTGCTGCTCCCTTTAGCAGTCTATTTCAGTAGATCTGCCTGTACTGTTCACCACTCTGTCTCTGGTGAACCCTCTCACCTCCTCCCCACACCTCTGATCTGTACCCCAGTTCTGTATGAATAAATAAATAAAAATCTTTAAAAACAAACAAACAAAAAAAGAGGGAGACTTGAAACATAGATACACCCTTGTGAGGACTGAACAGAGTCAAGACAACTGGAGTGGAAACAGAAGGGATAGTGTTGATTCTTCCCCAGCTCCAGGAGTTGAAACTTCGGCTCCGAGAACCATTTTAAAATGCTGAGAAGACTGGAGATGAATGCTTGACTATATTTATGTGCCAGGACAGTCACTATGGAGTAAATCTGTTAAATATTCTTCCCTCCTTGTATTTACCTCTTGTCTTTTACGGTTCATTTCCAGCATTTGCATCTTATGCAAATATTGTCTGGTCCCAGAAGTATACATTGAAGTTTGCATCTTCTCTTCCAGTCCCTGCTATGAAAGATGACAAACTCGTCAGTGGAAGATAATTTGTTATTGACTGGGCAGTTCACACTTGAAATCCTTTTGGACAGAGTGAGATCTTAATCAATCCTCAGTCATAATCCACCGAGGTCTCTGTGGGCTCAAGACGGACACTGGGGCTCTGTCAGTGCCTTGTGGCTGTGAGTGGATAGAGTGGTGCTCGGTTGTGTGTGCCGTGTGGTTTTTCAGGTTCCTGTGGAGTTTTTCAGACTTTGACTAGAAATATCTTTCCACATCTCACTTCGACAACATATCACTTCCTCTTATTACTATTTCTCCAGAAATGTTTTCTTGTTTGATGAAACTGCTTTCTCTCCCTGCCTCTTCTGCCACTGACCCACTCCCACTGAGGGGAGTTGAAGAATAGTTCAGTGGAGCCTATTTTTATAGTACATCCTCCTTATGCCAACACAAGCCCTGGTAAGGAAGGATGTAAAGTAGGTTATTCGGGATTTTGGTGTTCTCCCCCTGGGTCATAGACTCCAGTGGAATAATACAGACATCCATGGGCAACTATGCCCACATATGTCACTTGCTAAGGCCAGGAGGAGGAAGGAAGGCGGTACCCGAGAGAGTGGGTGATCTCGTTGGTTATCCTGGGAAGGTAACTCTATTGGCTTATGTGAGCCTCAGGGTGGGGCCCATCTGTCAGCATCATGAAGATGGTGGCTTTGAGGATTTGAATGGATCTGGAGATCTCTCACCACCTCAGCTAGTTGCCCAGTTGAAAATCTACTTCTCTAGGTTTCAACCTATGCGAGGAGTGTTTTCTCAGTGGTGTGACAATTACATAAAAGGAAAAAATGTCTACTGCAGTCCCTCCCCAGGATTACTTTTTGCTGTTGTTCTGGCAAGGATGTTAGGCACAACTAGTAGATTTGACTTCCTCGGAAAAGTGTGAATGAAAGAGTTTTAAATTGATGGGAAGAATGAATAGAGAGTTATGTGGAATTTTTTACAATTTTGAAAACTTCTAGAATCATCAACGTGCAAGTAAAATTCCTGTCTCTTATCTACAGCTTCCTGTTTTCACCAGGAAGCAAAGTAGGGTCTATGGGCAGGAGTAATGGCCAGCTGGAGGCAGACCCAGCTCTGGAAAGTGCGATGCTGAATGACTTCATGGTTTGGTTGCCTCTGAAGTCTGTGCAGAGAAAGCATGAAAAGGCCATTTTCCCCAACCCTGTGAGCCAGCACATCCCCAGCCCCCACCACCTGCCCCCACCACCATGATTTGTGCAGTTCACCTTTGCTTTGTGAGTTCTCTCAGCTTCTTGCAGGCACAGGTGCCTTTCAGCAGTAATTATTGTTGGTAAGAAAACTGGTTCAAGCTTCTGGAAGTCCAACATTGAGAACATTCAGCATCCCTCATGCCATGAGATGATGAAACCAAAAAGCCAGACATTAAACTATCTTAACACTTTGCAAAAGCAGCACTTATTCCTGAGAACACACAGGGAAGGTGATTTCAACAGTTTTATAATAATTTCTGTGCAAAAGGCTTTTCAACACACCTGAGGTTCAGTATTGCTCTAATGCATTGTTGACAACAGCTTATGACCTAAAAACTGGTGAGAGAGTTAAAAGACTGTCTGCATCAAGGAACCATGTTCAAAGTTATCCAATTGTGAGGGACTTAGAATATTAGAGATGAAAGAGGCATTGAGAAGTTACTTCATTTTATTCATCCCTTAAACACCCAGCTGAACTAGTCTTTAGGGAAGTGACCTATTTTTAAGGTCTCCAGAGGAACCCCTTCAGCCTCCTCAGTAATAATCACTGGTGCTTATGAGGCACATTTAAAAATGAAAGCACAATGTGAAAACAAATCTTGGACATGAGTGTTTCTAGCAGGGGCCTGGCTTTGTGGAAAGATCATGTTGGAGCTACAAGGGGCCAATAAGTCTGGCAGCAGTTGATGAACCAGTAGATCTGCCTCAGTCTCGCATGCCTCAGATGACTTAATGCTCTGAGAGCTGGAAACTGGGAAGTTACTGAGCAGCCTGATAGGCCATGGCTGGTCTTCATGCTGACGGAAGGTGAGTGACAGCTAGAAGGTCATAGAATCTTCATTTTTTCACTCAGCTGACTGAATGGCTTACTGTGTGCTTACTGAATGGCTGCTCTGTGCCAGGCACAGAGGTGCAGTGATCAACAAAAATGGGCCCTCAAGGAGCTTACAGTCAGTGGGGGATAGCTACACTTTTGCTTGTGTGATTGTCTGAGTAATAATTATCCAAACTTCACATGTTTGAAAAAGTCTTTTGACAAGACAATATATAATTGGAGGGCTCCTTTGGCTATGGGAGAGATGGTAAATTGGATTTGTCTCTGCCTAATTCAGTGAACTCTTTTTTATTTTATTTTCTTACATTGTTTTTCAATATTTGGTTTCCCCCTGAGGTGTAGTCCCATAAATCTCCCACTACCACCTCACCATGGACCATCATCATATGGTGAACTTTTAACTGCTGTACCTTAGTATGTGACCTTATTTGGAAATAAGAGTGTTTACTGAAGGACCCTTAATTCAGTATGTTTGATGTCCTCATAAAAAGGGGAAATTTGTGGACAAGGAGAACACTGCATGAAGATGAAAGCTGAGATTAGGGTAATGCTTCTAACAAGTCAAGGAACTTCAGAAATTGCTGGCAAATACCCAGAAGCTAAGAGAGGCATGGAGAGGTTCCTCCTTACAGCCCTCAGAAGAGACCAACTCATTCAATACCTTGACCTTGGATGTTTAGCTTCCAGAACTATGAAACAACATATTTCTTTAAGTCACCTAGTTTATTATGCTTTTAAAAAATTTATATATATATATATATATATATATACATATTTTTGTGCATTTTTCCATCTCAGTTGCAATCCCCTTGGGTTTCCCATCACCAAATCACCCATGTGCCATCACCATAGTCCAGTGCATTTCCCTCCCCCACTGTTTTGATCCCATTCCCCACTCCCCCATATTGTGCTTTTAATGGAAGCCCTGTAAAACTAACACAACAGGAAGGGGGTGAAGGGACATGCCATGGAAGTTTCCTGAGAAAGTTAATTTTTCAACAGAACTTGAAAGGTTGAGCATTTTTAGGGACTAAGGTGTTCTGGGTGGGGGAAACACCATAAACAATAGCTCTGAGGTGGGAGAGAACATGATCTGTTAGAAGAAATGCAAAAAATTGGTTGAATTTCAGAAAGGAAGACAACTCAAAGTGAGGCGGGAGAGGAAGGTAGGGGTCAGTTTATGCAGGAACTTCCTAAAGGCTCTGGTCTTCCTAAGAGTAACAGGCAGCCATTGACAAATCCAGCAAAGCAATAACACAATCACATTTGATTAAAAAGAAAAATGTTTGATCAGAAAACATGGAGGAGGTTATAGAAGAAACAGCCACCGCACATACTGTCACCTTAGAATAAATATCTTTCAGATTATATCTATTTTTCTTACTTTGCCCTTCAAAGAAAACTTACAAAACAAAACTGGAGAGGTTCCCATGGTGGCCCAGGGGTTAAAGTCTCAGTGCTATCAAACTACCAGCAGCCACTGCAGCATGGGTTCGATTCCCAGCCAGGCAGCTGACCCACATGGCACTGCTGCTCCCCTCAGCAGTATATTTCAGTCAGTCTACTGTTCTGCTCCCCACTATGTCCCTGATGAATCCTCTCACCACCTGCACCTCTGTTCTTATATGAATAAATAAATAAAATGAATCTTAAAAAAAAAAAAAAACCAGGGACTGGGTAAAAACACTTGGTAAGGAGCAGGTTGAGGGAGTTGGCATTGATGCTCCATTTTTGTCTTCTACATTTTAAACCATGTGACTATGTCCCAATTCAAATAAATGCACATTAAAAATTAAAAAAGAGGTCCTCCCCTGTGGCACAGTGGGTTAAAGCACAGCACTGAGAAGCTAAAGCCACTTCTTCATGAGTTCGATTCCTGCCTGCCCCGGAGGTGACCACATAGCGTGGCAGACCTCTCCTGACC